AGCTGTTCAGATTGTGTGTGTGCATAGTAGGGTACATATTAGCAGTTCTTGTTTTAATCTTTGTAAAGATTACCAGTTAAAACCTCTCATCAGTTTGTTCACCATTGAAAATAGCTGCTCATCATAAGTATTCGGATCATTCCTTGTCTATGTTGATTTTTCTTCTGTTTTGTCCATCAGATTATTTTTGATGTGACTCTGCTGGGTAGTTAACACCAAAAGGATTGAAATAATTATTCCAAAAGAAAGAAATCATCTAAAAAAAGCAAAAAAATAAAGAAAAGAGGGGGAGCTAAAAAATTGTATCCTCAAAACCCTCAAAACTTTTTCCGTTTCAAAAAGCCAATTGAAAGGCTAGAAACCCATGGAAGACTCAAGCAATAGCTTTTTGAAACGGAAAAAGCTATTGCTTGAGTCTTCCATGGGTTTCTAGCCTTTCAATTGGCTTTTGCCTTCAGGCTCCTTGGGTAGGACTAGGTTTTCTTCCCTTCGTTTGACTCTGGTCTTGAAATCTTTTGAATACATTTGATGATGTGAAAGCCTAGCTTTGGTGAATCACAAAGTGTGAAAGCCTCTTTGAGAAATTGTTGTCTTCTTGCAAAACATTAAGTGTGAAAGCACTCTTAGAAAATTACTCCATTTGTGTGCTAGTGGGTTGATTTCTTGGCTTGAATAAGTCTGAACTGTTTATGTGTATCAGACTGTGTAACTCATCTCTATGTTCCGTTCATGGTCAGTTGTTCTGTATATACCTGTTAAGGAAGTATATTTTTGCTGTTTTGCATTCTTATAAGTTTGAATCTACTTCTGTTCTTAACTATGTATATATTTTTTAAAAGAGAATGATGATGTTGAGTGATTTCTAGGATTGTCACCATATTGATTCTCGTTTATGTCTTGTGGTTGCCAAGTCTGTGTATTGGGCTGATTGTTTATTGGGTTTGTTATGATTTTTACTGGGCTTGGTTGCTATAACTGCTTAGTCTGTGTTTTGACATTCTGGTTTGGGCTTTTTCTAGTTGTTATTTGGGCTTATCTTGTCAAAACTCAAGTTTCTGAAGTCGTGTGTGTAGGCAAAAAAGATACTCGTGGCTCGAGGGAAAAGAGAGTTGTTGATACTTATCTATGACATATCTTGAGATGTTC